AAAAAAATTGCAAATGCAAAACCCACTCCTCGGTCCTTTAAAGTGTCAAATCTTTTTAGGGAGATTCTCGATCATCCAGGTCCTGGTTGTCCCAAAGGAGCTTCTTCAGGAGGCAACTGGACTTTGTTTTTCTTTGAAGACGTTTCGCTTCTCATTCAAGAAGCCCCTGAAAAAGCACCTTTAGGGTGTCAAATCTTTCATTTATCCTTGCATGAATGACCTGAATTGTTGCTATTTTGTTAAATATGGAGGTTTCTTGGGGTGCCTTTCCATCACCTTGACTAGCAGGGATGCATAACATCTTCGCAGCATCACTCAGACATCTGTGAATGAAGATAAAGCATTACTGTTAGGTTGGCACATTGTTAGTTGAATGACTGTGGAACATGCTATAAATCACACATGCAGAAATGAACTATTCCACCAGACTCCTGAAAAATTGCTAGTTTTTGTTTCAAAGCTGCAGACCTGTTGTATGCATCTACAGTGCATTCAGAAAGTATTCAGCCCCCCCCTTCACTTTTGTCAATTTCAGCCTGATTCTACAGTTGTTCGAATTCATTTTTTCTCATTCATCTATGCCTAGTACCCCATAATGACAGTGAAAACAGAATTTTAGAAATGTCTGTAAATATATTTTAAAAAACCTGAAATATCACACTGGTATAAATATTCAGACCCTTCACTCAGTACTTTATTGAAGCACCTTTGACAACAATTACGGCTCAGGTGTTTTGGGGAATGACGTGACAAGCTTTGCACACCTGGATTGTGGGATTTTCTGCCATTATTTCTTGCAAATCTTCTTAAGCTCAGTCAGGTTGGATGGCAACCATCGGTGGACAGCCATTTTCAGGTCCCTTCAGAGAAGTTCAATAGGGTTCAAGTCAGGGATCTAGCTGGGCCACTGTAGGACATTCCCAGAGTTGTCCCTAAGCCACTCCTGTGTTGTCTTGGCTGTGTGCTTAGGATCATTGTCATATTAGAAAGTGAACCTTTGGCCCAGTCTGAACTCCTGAGCACTAGGGAGCAGATTTTCTTTGAGGCTATCCCTCAATTCAGCTTTCTCCATTCAGCTTTCCCTCAACCCTGACCAGTCTCCCAGATCCTGCTGCTGCTCCCACCACCATGCTTCGCTGTTGGGATGATATTGAGCAGGTGATGAGCGGTGCCTGGTTTTCTCCAGGCATAATGTTTAGAATTGAGGACAAACAGGGAGATTCTCGATCATCCAGGTCCTGGTTGTCCCAAAGGAGCTTTTTCAGGAGGCAACTGGACTTTGTTTTTCTTTGAAGACGTTTCGCTTCTCATTCAAGAAGCTCCTGAAAAAGCACCTTTAGGGTGTCAAAGAATGGAGCAATTGATGCTAGGTAGTGCATGGGAGAATGACCTATGTGGCTGTCCACTACCTTTGCCTTGGTCTTCCATCACAATGAGACGTCTTCATCAGTTATGCATAGCATCCTGCCTGCCCCATTGGCAGTCCCAGAACACAATGACAGTCCTTAACATAAGTAGGCTAAACATGGAAGCCAGCACAATAGTGGCCTGATTAGAAGTAGCAAAAGAAGCTGGTATTGTCAAGCAATTGTGAGGCTATAAGATTTAAGTGAATTCTGTATTTGATCCTGTACATAGCAAGGAAATATGGATTTGATGGAAATATGTAAGAATTTGCCTAGATAGACAAAGATGGCTGAAACATTTTTAAATCCAAAGCAACCAGACAATACTTGGAAGCAACTCAAGCAAAAGAGTAGAAGAAAGAGGGGAGGTACAGCAGAATTTTGCCAAATTCTGTTGTTATAATTATTGTAGTTAGTCTCAATAAATATAGTTTTAGTCTTCCTATAGAGTTGATTTTTTGATCTGATCTGTCTCGTGGAGTAGGTTACAGACATGTCCATATTGGTTTGGGGGCAATGATATGGAAAAGTTTTGCAATTACTTTCAGATTTTTTTTCACTTTCCTAATTTAATCTATAGTCCCCAGAATTCCTAGGTCTCTCCCATTCAAGTACCAAATACCGATTTTGCTTAGTTTTTCCAAAATCAGCTCAAATTAGTTTAGTGCTCTCACTGTTGGTACAATCCTATAAGATAAAGTATTACAATTCTAATAGGGATACAAATAAGGACTGAACTCCCAGCTTAATAAAATCAGAATTTTGTGCATTTTTGCTTCTAAAAACTTGTGTATTTTTGCTTCTAAAGACAGTATAAAGACTCCTGTAATTTTGTTTTCATTTATTCATATTTTTTCTTCCTTAAACTTGATTGGGGACTCATTGTTTCTGAAGATTGGATAATCATTTCTTTCATTCTGTTTAAATATCTGCATCCCCAGCACATTATAAATAATACATGCTTCTTGTAATCTACATTTGTTCCCAAATATTCCATTGAGAATTGCAGTGTCATCTTGTGAATCAAGATGAAAATTAATTTAATGGAAAAAATCAAAAGTTTAGGAGAAAGTCATTTGAGCATTATATCCAAAGTAACTATTAGACTTGCAAATCATAGCAGTTTTGGCTCCTGTATCCTTAACAATTTT